TGTATATGTATTTTTATATATAAATGTATATATATATATATATTAATATATATATATATATGTATATATATATATAAATTTATATACATAGGTATATATAGGGCGTGCACAGGACAAGAATATTGATATGACCAAAACAAGAGCAGTCCTATGCTTGTCTTCTCCCGTGGCTGATGGTAGGGGCAATTAGTGCCGTTTAATCGCATGTTGAGTGATATTTTATTTGTATTTAAACATAGACATGCACTCGCACATTATAGACAGAAATATATGTGGTGTACGTAATGCCTTGAATACCCCGTGCGCAGATTCGATAAGTCTCGTACTTTTACGTTTTCAAATTGGAGACACGCCTCACAAATTTGTCTTCCGGCCCAATACATTCAGCAATCGAACTACGAAGGTTTCGGCAGCGGCGTGGTACCCAAAGGCTGTGGATTCACACTGCAAAACGTAAGTCTACGCTTTCGTCGCTATTTAGACAGCTACGTGAAGTACAGGTTAAGGCATCGATTTCAAAGCGTTTGCAATCGCCAAAAAGAGGGTAGCCGCACTACACACTACGGCGCAGAGGATCGCGATTAGTACTTGTCCACTTGCAACAGTATGAGATGTCACATTGCAAAACGTACATTGGCTCTGGATATAGGCACGTTTGCCATCACCTTATAAATAGTCGCATTGGCTTAAGGACAAACGTCTGCGGTCGTCTTTTAAATAGTCCCATTGACTTGTGGATGTATAAACGTTTGCTAAAAAGTCGCACGGCCGGTCATGTGCAGATGATACATCTGCCCTGTCATTGGTATCTTCACCAAAGCAAACACCACACGAATCAATGCGAGTGTGAATTATCACAACTCTAAAACCCTACACCCCCTACAACTTAGTGTGTGATGTCATCCAGTTAATGTGTGATGTCATCCATTGCTTAACAGCGTGGACGTAACTTCAACCTGAATGCGGCCCATCCCAACTGCCTGCGACCTGGTATGTGTTTGTCTCGATCTGCATCCTTGAGCAACCCGAGAGTTGCCTGTATAACGAAAAGATGTGTTCCGACTGGAGCGATTGTCTGCAGCAGTTATACTGGTCTTTCTGTCTCTCTCCCGACGCATGACCTGTTTAAAGTGTCTGTATGTACCCGTCTCTAGATACTATGTATGGATTCAAGCCCCAAATCTATCGTTGGGAATATCGCGTACAGTACATATAGGACGGCTAGTGGGTATTATAGTATATTCTCACATATGCATGCACCTCTTTGTTTGTGTAGGATCGGACTACCCGACTACGGTACCTTTTTTTGTCCTGCTTCCCACCGACCTTCCTTTCGTTCACCCATTGCCATGCCTGCTCAACGTAGGAGCCTTTATTCTTGCGCATGCACTGCATCTACAGTGCATATACAACGGCTAGTTGAGGGTATAGTACACTCTCACGCTTGCATGCACCTCTTTGTTTGTGTAGGACCGGACTAGCCAAGCGCGGTACCTTTGTTTGTCCTGATTCCCACCTTCCTTCCTTTCGTTCACCACTCCCATGCCTGTTCATGTATACCATGTCATTATACTTACCCACGCACCGAATCCTACCGCCTGGGACCACTCCTTTATTCCCGTCTCCGTGTCGTTTGCCCTTCCCAATGTGGGCTATGCACACACGAGACCGTGCTACACATTCCCATGCTTGTACACTATATGCGCTCTTGTCTATTACGTCTATCTGTGCAATATATATGTTCTCGTGTTATGCGTCTGTCTGTGCATTGTATATGTTCTTGTCTTCCACGTACGCATGTACCTAATACTGCCACTTCCACCTCAGATCACTCCTAAGACCCCGTCTAAGTGATGTTTTATCTTTTCAATGTGCGCTATACAGGTAAGAGGCCCTACCACACCATCATTCCGTCCATGGCGACTCGCGAGGGAAAATTATGGTTCACCTTTGGTGTCATGGGCGGATTTATGCAGGTGTGCTATTTGTTAGCTAATCAGAACCAATCTTCGACTACCCTCCTATGAAAGCCATATAAATATATGCATACATAGACACGTGCACATACACACACACACACACACACACATATATATATATATATATATATATATACGTTAGACGTACGTACCGACGACACGGACG